CGCACGTCTGAGACCCCTCCTGCCTTTAGGACTCCTTCGTCCGGCCGGTCTGCCCCGAGGGCTCGCTGGACGCCGGTCCGGAGAGCCCCGAGCGGCTCCGGCGGGAGATCGAGCAGTTCCAGGTGGGTCCCGGAGAGGGGATCAATCGGCCGGACCCAACCGCCCGGGAGCGGCCCGGGGTCCGCAAGGCCAGCTCTGCTGCGAGCTCGGGGGTCTGTTCTTGGACTGTGAGCCAGAGGCGGTGGAGAGGGGGAATCCCATGGAGACGAGAGCCTGTTCTGAGATCCAGGCTCATTCTCAAAGCAGCAGCCTGTGGGGTGGCACGATGCCTGCAGGGACTTGCCGTCTGATGGTTCTTCTCACAGGAGCTTTGCAGTGTTCTGGAGCAAGACCATGCCAAGCTACGAATGGCCAAGGAAGCTGCAGAGGAAAGGACACGAGAGCTGAGGAAAGAGGGAGAACTCCTTCATAAGAATCTTGAGCAACAAATGTTTTTAAAGAGAGATGAAGTGGCAGCCCACCAGGTTGGTGGTCAGAGGACGTGTCTTAGGCTTGGAAAGGTGGCAGGAGTTGCTGCTCTGAGATCCCTTTGCTCTGGATCGGGTGGAGGTTTCATGGGCAGTGCTGTGGCCATGGATGAACAGCTGTTGTCAACGCTCAGGAGCCAGGGCAGGGCTGCAGGCTGCCAAGAGCAGGAGAGCGGTGTGGGTGGAGTTGTCCAAGAACAACCCTGTGCTCTAAACAGGGAGTGTGCTGCAGCTTCCTGTGTACCGGTGTTCCCTCACTGCCCTTTTCTTTCCTTCCAGATTGAGGTTTTTGCAGCACAGGAGGAGAACAAGAGACTGAGTCAGGAGAAGCAGGTCCTGAAAAATAAACTGGAAGAACTGAAAAAGAGGGTCCCCAGGGAAGATCCTGTGAGGGTAACAGAGTGTATGTGGGCATTCGGGTCTGCTGTCAAGGGCACAAGCCTGGCTGGAGAGGCTGTGGGTGAATGCAGCTGGGCTCTGTGTGACAACTGGCACAGCTCCTGCTAGCAGGTGGCTCCCCTGCCAGCACCAGGAGCTCCAGGCATGGTTTTGGGACTCCAGTCACAGCAAGAGCCTAGGAGAGACTCTGCTGAGACTCTCCAGCTGCTTATTTTGAGCCATGAGCTTGTTTCTAGTCTGTGGATTGGCAGGGACATGCCCTGTGCAGGGTCTAGTCTTCTCCAGGTGCTGTCTGTACTTGAACCTAGATGCTGTCTGCCTTACCAGAAAAGAAAATGGTATTTAAGGGGCTCATAGCAAACAAGGAGGATGTGAACAAGCTGATGCTCACCCCACTGATCCGCTACCCGCTGCAGGGGGGCTCGGCTCTCATCACCTTTGAGAAAGCAGAGGGTAAGTGTGAGAAGAGCATTGCCCTGGCCAGGTGTCCTGCTCTGTCCTTTTGGGGCCTGCCCTCCATCCCCTCACTGCGCCAGGCTTGGTGCTGCCCCTGCACCTGCATTGTGTGGAGCTGTGTCCTTTCCACAAAATGTTTCCCGTGCCGTGTCCTGCCCCTCCAGAGTGCAGGGAGTGGGCAGTCACTCCCCTGTGCTGGGGGCTCTCCATGCTCACAGTGGCACAGAGGATCGTAGAGGTGAAGGAGCACGTGGTGGAGCTGAGCTGTGGGGTGGAACTGGAGGAGCTTGACCAGTGCAGAATGCGAGTGCAGGCAGCACCGGTGGAGATACCACTGCCATCTGCCCTGGAGGTAGGGCCTGTGGGCCCATGGCTCCCCGTGCCACATAGCTGCCCTGGGCACACTGCTCACTGCCTGAGCCTGCCTCTGCCACGGCACTGCTGCCAGGGCACTGCTACCAGTCCCACTCAGTGCTGATCCCCTAAGCTCAGTCCTGCCCTGGCACTGACTGGCCTGTGCCACCCACAGATCAAGCTGGTTCAGAGCAGCAGGAGCATCCTTCTGTCTGACCTGCCTGCCCTGGGCATCCCTGAGGAGGCAATGCTGGACAAGCTGGAGCTCTTCTTCAGCAAGACGAAGAATGGGGGCAGCGAGGTGGAGAACAGGGAGTTCCTGGACAACACTGGCCAAGTGGTGCTGACCTTCACAAAGGATGGAGGTGCATGGGGCATGCTGAGCTTGGGCAGCTGGCAAGGGGAGAGCAGCCCAGCCTGCTCTGGGGGGAAATGGGTCGCCTCCTGAGAGCAGATGAAGCTGTGTCTGGGCTCACTCCCAGGCAGAGTGAGCCTAGGCTGTCCTGCCACCCTTGAGGCTGTGCTGGTGCAGGTGAGCTGGGCAGTGCCAGCCTTTGTGCCTGTGTCAGGGATGTAACCTCCCCTGCAGCTCAGCTGGGGCCTGGGCATCTCAGGGCTTTCCTCTGTCTGCAGTGGCAGAGCACCTAATTGAGAGAGGGCACATCCAGGTGCCTATTGGCAGAGGAAAATACAAAGTCAAAATATCACCGAGCATGAGTGGAGCCGTCACTAACCTGCAGGTAAGGGTATGAACCCTGTGCAAGCAAGCACCTGCCAGCCCGAACCCCTCTCCCTGCAATGCCATGTAGCTAACCCCCAGCTGTGCCCAGCTCCAGCCCTCCCGCTGCCCCAGGACTGTCCTGCTCTCGGGTATCCCCGACGTGCTTGGTGAGGAGTCCATGAGAGACACCCTGGAGATTCACTTCCAGAAGGCCAGCCGCGGCGGCGGGGAGGTGGATGCTCTCGCCTACGTCCCAGCGGGGCAGACCGGGGTGGCCGTGTTCGTGGAGG